AAAACCGCCCGATTTCGTTATTATCGCAAGTATGCAAGCTATTCACAAAAATTACGAACACACTGACTAATAAATTAGATCAATATCAGCCAGATGAACAAGCGGGTTTTAGAAAACAGTATAGCACGTGTGACCATCTTTTGACAATGAGGATCCTAGTGGAAAAAACCATTGAATATAATTTAGATATCTGTTTATCTAATATTGCAATCGCTTGCAAATGCAAGAATAGACAGCAGGTATTCAGCCTCATTAGCCACATATGCGAAAACGCCACCTCTACCATTCAGTTGAGTAACATCACGAAACCTACCAAAATATAATGAGGCATGAGACAAGGAGATACGCTATCTCCAAAAGTATTCACCTGGGCCGTAGAAGATGCTTTCAAGACAGGACCAGCGTATCTCAATAAATGGGAAGAGATTAAACCATCTGAGGTATGCGGACGACATTGTTTTGATATCGGAAAACAAATAAGAAATGGGAAAAAGTTGACGGAACTAGAGGAAAAGACGACAACAATCGGACTCCAGATGAACCTTTCAAAGAGAAAGGTACTATGTAAAGACCCTCAAATCAAAATTCGAGACCAGAAAATAGATAATGTAACCAACTATATACATATCCTACACCTGGGGCATGTACTATCACTGGGAAGAGAAAATCAAACCCAAGAGATAGAAAGAAGAAGACTAGCTTGGAAAACTGAGTAACACTCTGAAAAATAGAAAAATCCCAATACATCTAAGAAGTCGACTATATAACCAATGTGTCCTATCAGTGATGACGTACGGCGCCCAAACATGGACCATCACCATCGAAAAAATCGCTAGAAACACTCAGAATAACACAGCGTGCGATAGATAGAAAGACAAATGCTTTGATTGGACTGTCACTAGTCGATAGAAGGTGAAATGAACACATCAGACCCAGATTACAGATGTTAAATGGAGTTTTGCAGAGACGATGTAAAAAACACACGGCAGGTTTGGCATGGATGAGGGAAGCACAGAACCGAAATACTTCTGTATAATAATAATAAATAAATAATAAATAAGTGGATGGAAATATATGTATGAAGGAGGCCTGCGTCCGAAAAGGGAA